GGATATTGTCAAATGCATTATTATCTATAAATAATTGTATCGAAGCCAAAACTAATATAATATATAAAATTATCATTCAGATTTACGATGAGAATTATTGATTTGTTATAAGAGTCAAGTTATTAAGAAATTTTAAGAATAATAAAAGAAAATAGCAATAGTTCTCGTCCACAGAAAATGCTTATTGACACTTGGAAGGTCGACTCAAGTTTTTATAGCCAAGCCGTAGCCTAGTGTATACTGTAGTGTCGGCGGAGTATATCGAAAGACACTAGTTCTTCACACACACACACACACACATTAGCTGACGGTTCCTATACTGTTCAGGTTTACTGCTACAAGTTGATTAATAAGGAAACAGTTGTTAATTCTCCTCGGTTGAAGAGTAATGGTAAATATTATCACGCTTTAAAAAAAAAAAAAATCTATCGTACATTCCACCGTGACAGTGTTGGCCGCTCTTTGACTATCGCCCGTGTATAATGATTTTAAAAACCTGCCTGAAAGTTTCATTGGGATTCGTAACACAAACACGAGTGATAAAACCCTGTCTTGATTCACAAAGGTTCCGATGATAAATATTTGACATAACTGAAGAAAGGGTGAATATTAGCTAATTTAATTTAAGCTACAACATATAAATGACGTTAAAAATTACAATAAAGTCACACTAAGAACATATAGAAACATGGTTATTAAAGTACTTGGGTTCATACAAAGGAGTGTTAGTTACGAGACTAGCGAGGCTATCAGGTTATCATAAACTTTATCTTGTGCTTGTTCAGACCTTACTTGGATTCTGGCATTATGCGATTCAGTTTTAGTTACCGTACTACAGAATGGATATAGAATCCTTAGAATGCATTCAGAGGAGAATGACAAGACTAATCCTGGGCCTTATGAACCTTGAGTACAGAGACAGGTTAAAGCATCTTAATTTGCACTCCCTCGAGAGACGTAGAGTGAGGGGCACTATGATGGAGGTGTATAAATGGAAGTCAGGGCTAAACAAAGGTGATATATTACAAGGGTACTCAAACTATCCAACCAGGAGCGAACTCGTAGCAATGGCTTTAAATTAGAGAAATTTAGATTTAGGCGCGAGATAGGTAAACGTTGGTTTGGAAATAGAGTAGTGGACGAGTGGAACAAGTTACCAAACTTCATCATTAACTCGAACGCGTTGGGTGTAAACGGGGCTGCCTGGTATGGGTCAGTAGGCCCGCTGCACTTAAGATAAATAAAATAAGATACCGAATGTTTCAAAAGTTCTGTTAAATTGTATACGTTGATATCATCCCCGATAATTAATATTAAGAGAAGTCATGAAATAGATAATATCTCAGTATAATTTATCTCTGAATGCTATGTTTTTATTTATCTATAGTTTAGGTCATCCAGTTGGGTCCGTTCTTCCGTCTTCTTCACTTACGAGAGACATTCATCGTACGAATCATTGGACTGGTGGTGAAAATTAGAGTACTTGGCGATAATTATAGGACAGTGTGAAGTAAATACTAACTTGGCGATAATCATAGGGTACGCTATTTACACTTGGCTTGGCGATGATTATAGGGTAAACCTTAAATACTAACTTGGCGATATTTATAGGGCTGACCCTTAATAATTAGCTTATTGTTATTTTAAGACAGACGTTTACTTATCTGGTACTTGGCGATAGGAATACACTCACACAGGACAGGGTCTATATAAGGCCTACTGGCGATATATAGAGGGCAGGGTCTATATAAGGCCCGCTGGCGATATATAGAGGGCAGGGTCTATATAAGGCCTGCTGGCGATATATAGAGGGCAGGGTCTATATAAGGCCTGCTGGCGATATATAGAGGGCAGGGTCTATATATGGCCTGCTGGCGATATATAGAGGGCAGGGTCTATATATGGCCTGCTGGCGATATATAGAGGGCAGGGTCTATATAAGGCCTGCTGGCGTTATATAGAGGGCAGGGTCTATATAAGGCCAACTGGCGATATATAGGGTCTATATAAGGCCTACTGGCGATATATAGAGGGGGTCTATATGGCCATGCTGGCGATATATAGAGGGCAGGGTCTATATAGGCCTGCTGGCGATATATAGAGGGCAGGGTCTATATAAGGCCTGCTGGCGATATATAGAGGGCAGGGCAGAGGGCAGGGTCTATATAAGGCCTGCTGGCGATATAGAGGCAGGGTCTATATATGGCCTGCTGGCGACATACATAGGGCAGGGTCTATATATGGCCTGCTGGCGATATATAGAGGGCAGGGGTCTATAAGGCCTGCTGGCGATATATAGAGGGCAGGGTCTATATAAGGCCTGCTGGCGTTATATAGAGGCAGGTCTATATAAGGCCAACTGGCGATATATAGAGGGCAGGGTCTATATAAGGCCTGCTGGCGATATATGGTCATATATGGCCTACTGGCGATATATAGAGGGCAGGGTCTATATAAGGCCAACTGGCGATATATAGAGGGCAGGGTCTATATATGGCCTGCTGGCGATATATAGAGGGCAGGGTCTATATAAGGCCTGCTGGCGATATATAGAGGGCAGGGTCTATATAAGGCCTGCTGGCGATATATAGAGGGCAGGGTGTGTGTGGCGACAATAGGACATAAGTGTTATCGTGTTGTCCACTAAGAGAGTGTGGCGTCGCCTGGGGTCCTTGTCTAGTACATTTATTATTATGGGTAAAACACTCTGTATTGTTATGGTCCCTAGTCACGCTAGTGTGTGTGTGTGTGTGTTTTGTTTAGGGTATGTGTGTTTTTTAGGGCATGTATGTGTGTATGTATGTGTGTGTATGTAAATGTGTTTAGGGTATATGTGTGGTTGTGTTGTGTGTGTGAGTGTTTCTGAGAGTGTGTTTTAACCCTTTGGCTGCGGGAGGTTACCCTAAGCTGAATAAAATCATCTGGCCGTAGCCGAATAAACTGGCAAGTGTATTATAGTCAATCATTACACAATAATATTCTCAACACTACCGGAATTTAGGCTTTTCCGAAATCGCGCTAAGCCACCGTATGGGAATTTCGCAAATCGTCCGGTAGTCCAGAATCAAAGTCTTGCCGTATACTCCCTGCATCTGTTTTAAGCGTGTTCCACTGACGACTGACGGACGTATGGAGTTCCTGTTAATTTTACTAAGCTACATCTTGTTGACTGTAGTACCCGTTTTCACATTGATTTTTTTTAAGTTCATATTTATAGGAAAAATCAAATAGAAGAGCAGAAAGCCCAAATTTTACTTCCGGTGTACAGTATACAGTACTTGTTTGTGATTCTGAGTAATTGGTTTGTCACTGTCAACAACAATAGTAATAATTATGATACTACTACTACTACTGCTACGACTATACTATAATATTAATCCACCTTTCATTTTATAAAATATTTTTTTCCTTTACTTCTAAGAGAACTAATGTCTGTGAGGTTAGCATCAGGGTGGTTAATCTTAAGGTGAAATAAGCTGGGAGAGAATCTTAAGGTGATGCAACTTGTCAAATGGTTAATAATTACCTGTTATGGCGATGTCTCAAGAGTTTCCGAGACTGAAACTCAACCAAATATTAACCTCGTGGATGTCTTAACCTAAAGTCGAACATGCGATATATCTCCGAGTGGCATCAAGTTTGACGACTATCCATCCTCTCCTTCAGAAGCCACCGCGTCCCCTTAAAGAACAGGCGACTCACACGATACCCACTCTTTTCAGTTGTATCCAGTGACCTTACTCTGGGTTATTCAGTAGCTGCCCTTATGTTCTTATATTTCAGTAATGTGTGTATTTGAATGTTATGGTTTATTACGAATCGTTCTTAAATGTCTATAGAGTGTTTTTTTTTCCCTCCCACGCCCCAAGAAACTCTACGGTGATGTCGCACACTAATCTGTTGTTTATGTTTACCCTAATGGAGGAGGCACTAACAGTACCTTGTGGATGTATGCTTCTTGAGTTTATATAGTCTGATTCTATATGTAATTAAGTGTGTATATTTGTTTTGGACGGATAAAGCACTTGTTCATTACATTGAGCATTTCCCGCAATAATGCGCAATGGCGGGAATCAGCAGCAAACACACTCTTCGTTCGCTTTCATTCATTTAACTCCTATTCCTGTGAGAGATATGTTCTGCTGCGGTTTTACTCTTCCACAAAAGGTATTCAAATATTTATATGGTTTATCCCTGTCGACTCGAACTATTGTCTTCTGAAACAGTTATCGTTTAAAAATGGTGGACGGGTGTGATTGTGTCTATTTGCTGAACGAAGCCGTCTGATTGGTTGATTCGCGAACCAATGAGAGGTGAGTTGCAGTCATAACAAACAAGGTGGACAACATCGAAAAATTCTGAGTTGTGATGAAAACCAAACATGCCTCAGCCAATCAGACGCCGTCGACCCGTGATACCTGTTGTCTAGGCAGATTACAACAGGGGAGCAATTTAGATGGCGGAGTGATGTTAAAGACAGCTGAGGTTGACCTTCTGGTGAGTATATTTATGTATATCATGGCGAGGAGGATATACCATTCCACCAGAAAACCTAACAGAGTTTGCGATGATGTCAAATTCTCTCCTTAAAAACAAAAAAGACATAAAATTCCAGAGAAAAATCTTGAAAACGCGCAGTTGTCAATAAAGTATATTTACATGTTTACTAATTCATCTGATAAGAACATATTGTGTTATCGTTGTAATACTAACACAGGTTGTAACAAGATCTCTTTATTGTGTCGGTGTAGCGTCGGCTGACATTATGAACGCCGTCAATATCGCATTATTGTATCTTCAGTATCAACAGCGAGAGTGGGTGTTTGTTTACCTTCGTTACGTCAGCATAGGTCACCTCCATGACATCACTCGGTGTAAACTCAACCCTGACCTTCTCGCGGCGGAGATCACCCTGACCTTTACATCTCAACCAGTAATATAACTTGAGATTACTTTATTACCGAGATGATATTTGGTTTTATTTTACGCTCCTCGGCAATATGAGTCTAAGAGACCCTCCAACTCTGGGCCCCCGGTGGAGTGAGGCAGGTGGTGGTCCGTGTCTTCGTCAGTCTCAGTCAGCTGGTGGGTCCTAGCCGGTGTCTGTGATGGCTAACCCCTCAACCTAGTTAATGACATTTTTTCATTACGTAAAAATTAACTATTTCTTCGGGGGTTTTTTATGGTGAATTTTACCCTTTTTTCGTTAATTATCCGTTTCTCCGTTTTTCTCACTCTCGCATACATCAAACTAACCCAACTTTGCCGATCTTACGGAAGACACGACAACTGGAATCACTTTTTTTATGTATGTAAGATTATTTTTTTTATCATAAAGAACTAGGTTTTGTCGCCGTCTTTATTCGTCTCAGTGTTTACTCCCACGGGCCCGCTCTGACCTTTTCTGCAGAATAATCTTGATAATATATCTTTTTCGCAAACTTTGACCTTTCTCGTCTTTCTTCTTACCAAAGTTTTCTCATTTTTAACGACGCGTGACTATTATTTATCGCTACTGGCCTTCAAAGGTCATCTTCCTACTCATATTAAGGATTCGCGACACTGATAATACTGAAACTACTGCTGGCTACCTCTAAGACATGTGAAAGTGGATCCCATACGCCTCACACACACAACACAATGACTACTAAGCCTCAGCACTGCACTCTACCTCCTTCACTACCCCATCTGTAAAGTTAGGTACCTATTCACAGCTGGGAGGACTCGGGGTGTCTCGAGAACGATCCAGCGACCCCTTGGACGAGAGATGAACGCTGAATGCACTCGGCCTCTGAACTCTTGCTCAGATGTGTACAGCGGAGTTAATTCAGGAAGAGAAGGTTGAGGTGTACACGCTTCCTTGCTTATAGGTGTGTGTGTGTGTGTGTGTGTGTGTGTGTGTGTGTGTGTGTTGTGTGTGTGTGTGTGTGTGTGTGTGTGTGTGTGTTCCGTTTGTTGGAGGAAGAAGAAGAGGAAGAAAGTTGTGAGGCGGAAGGAAGGAGCCTTCGTCGAGGTTTCAGGGAGGTGACCAGCAGGCCCCCACACTACCTGTAATTAGACACCTAGCACTGGTCTCAGTGGTCGAGGACGAAGCGTTTGTTTGGTGGATTTTTTGGTTCTCAGGTGGAGGTGGAAGTGGGGGCCATATGGTAACATGTTCAAGGAAGTGGAATTTTTATGGGGAAGTGGAGGAAGAACTTGAGGCATTTGTTATAAAGTGGAGGTAGAACTTGAGGAAGAGGAGGAGGAGGAAGAGGAGGAGGAGGAGGAGGAGGAGGAGGAGGAGGATGAGGAGGAGGAGGAGGTGAATCCATCGTCATAAACAGGAAATGAAGCTGTTTATCCGGACGTCAAATGTATCCTGGACAGTGTTGGTGGTGGCTGAGATGGCAGGAAGAGGAGGAGGTGAGAAGAAGGAAGGAGGGAGGAGAAGAAGGGTGAGGGGGAGGGGGAGGTGAGGGAGAGAGAGGGAGAGTGAGTGAGGGAGGGAGGGGGAGAGAGAGATAGGGGGGAGGAGGGCGTATATTCAAGGCTGGACAATAATATATCCTTTTAAAAACTCAAGAGCAAAAATTATTCTCATAAAGTATCATTTTAAAACATCGAAAAATATATTAATGTTAAGAAGGTGGTGTTTGCTCTTTGAGGATTTGGTTGATTATGTGAGAAATAACAGAAATACCATTTGGTTCCTTTACTCACATCACCAGTACTCCCGGCACACCAGTTCCCAGTACACCAGTTCCCAGCACACCAGTTCCCAGCACACCAGTTCCCAGTACACCAGTTCCCAGCACACCAGTTCCCAGCACACCAGTTCCCCAGCACACCAGTTCCCAGCACACCAGTTCCTCAGCACACCAGTTCCCAGCACACCAGTTCCCAACACCAGTTCCCAGCACAGTTCCCAGTACACCAGTTCCCTGTACACCAGTTCCCAGTACACCAGTTCCCCAGCACCAGTTCCCAGTACACCAGTTCCCAGCACACCAGTTCCCAGCACACCAGTTCCCAGTACACCAGTTCCTGTACACCAGTTCCCACACACACCAGTTCCCAGTACACCAGTTCCCAGCACACCAGTTCCTGTACACCAGTTCCCCCACACCAGTTCCCAGCACACCAGTTCCCAGCACACCAGTTCCCCCAGCACACCAGTTCCCAGCACACCAGCTCCCAGCACGCCAGATCCCAGCACACCAGTTCCCAGCACACCAGTTCCCAGCACATAGATCCCAGCACACCAGTTCCTGTACACCAGTTCCCAGCACACCAGTTCCCAGCACACCAGTTCCCAGCACACCAGTTCCCAGCACCAGTTCCCAGCACACCAGTTCCCTGTACACCAGTTCCCAGCACACCAGTTCCCAGCACACCAGTTCCCAGCACCAGTTCCCAGCACAGTTCCCAGCACACCAGTTCCCAGCACACCAGTTCCCAGCACACCAGTTCCCAGCACCCCGGGCCACCACTAACCCTTCCTAGCTAAATCCCTCTTACCCATCACCACACTACCCCTTACCCATCACCACACTACCCCTTACCCATCACCCACACTACCCCTTACCCATCACCCTACCCCTTACCCATCCCACACTACCCTACCCATCACCACACTCCCCTACCCATCACCACACACCCCTTACCCACATCACCCTACTCCCCCCTACCCATCACCACACTACCCCACTTACCCATCACCACACTACCCCCACTTACCCATCCACACTACTCCCCCCTTGCATCACGACACTACCCCCTCTTACCCATCACCACACTACCCCCCCTTTCCCATCACCTCAGTATGGTATTTGATAGTACAGGTGAATATCAAGTGATGGGGGAGCTGGGGAGTTAGGAGGCTGGGAGTTAGGGAGGCTGGGAGATTGGGAGGGCAGTGGGAGGGCTGAGTTGAAGGGGGCAGGGGTAGTTGAGGAGGGGCTGAGGATTAGGGGAGGGCTGGGGATTATGAAGGGGCTGGGGATTATGGATTTGGGCTGGGGAGTTAGGAGGAGCTGGGGATTAGGGAGGACCTGGGAGTATCTTGTGGGTTGTCTGGCGCCGATATTACCATCCTGGGCGCCAGGATAGATGGGGGGTGATGGGAAGGAGGGGTAAAGAAGGAGAGGAGGGGGAAGGAAGGAGGAGGGGAAGGATGGTTAGAGTCGAGTCGTGCTGGTCGTGGGTAGGCCTGTACACGCTCTCTCCCTGTGTGTGTGTGTGTGTGTGTGTGTGTGTGTGTGTGTGTGTGTGTGTGTGTGTTGCGTCTTCCTCAACACGTCTCCCCATGTCTTTGTCAACCACGCCCTCACGATCTCGTTCTTTCATGGTTTTTTTCTCTGGAACCTATCCCTCTTCTGAAACCTACCCCCGTCTGGAACCTACCCCTCTTCTGGAACCCCCTCTCTTCTGGAACCTACCCTCTTCTGGAACCTACCCCTCTTCTGGAACCTACCTCTTCTGGAACCTACCCCTCTTCTGGAACCTACCCCTCTTCTGGAACCTACCCTCTTCTGGAACCTATCCCTCCTGGAACTACTCTCTTCTGGAACCTACCCACCTCCTGAATCTACCCCTCTTCTGGAACCTACCTCTCTTCTGGAACCTACCCACCTCCTGGAACCTACCTCTCTTCTGGAACCTACCTCTTCTGGAACCTACCCCTCTTCTGAACCTACCCCACCTCCTGGAATCTACCTCTCTTCGGAACCTACCTCTCTTCTGGAACCTACCCCTCTTCTGGAACCTACCCCTCTTCTGGAACCTACCCCTCTTCTGGAACCTACCCCTCTTCTGGAACCTCACCCCTCTTCTGAACCTATCCCACTCCTGGAACCTACCTCTCTTCTGGAACCTACCTCTCTTCTGGAACCTACCCACCTCCCTGGAACCTACCCCTCTTCTGGAACCTATCCCACTCCTGGAACCTACCTCTCTTCTGGAACCTACCTCTCTTCTGGAACCTACCCCCTCCTGGAACCTACCCCGCTTCAGAAACTTCCTCCCGTCTTCCTTCGTCAAACACCAACACTACTCCCTCATATACCTCCCCCTCCAACACTACTCCCTCATAAACACTCCTCCAACACTACTCCCTCATAAACACTCCTCCAACACTACTCCCTCATAAACCCCCCTCCAACACTGATCAATAAAAGTGGGTCCTATAAGCCTTCGGTACACCAAGAGGCCGCGTGACTGGTACTGCTCTCAACTCCCATCACCCTAGCAGTAAAGTTTGGTGCCCATATACACAGTTAAGTGGATTGGGAGTTCCTGGGATCGAACCAATACCCTTTAGAAAAAGAGTTGAGCGTTGTATCCACTCGGCCGCCGCACTACACCCTCAAAAACCACGCCTTTATGCACTAGTTCCTCTTAAACCCACACTCTCCATTACTACAACCACGCACGCCCTCCCTGATGCACCACAACTACGCATGCCCTCCAACACCACGCCTTCCCACACCCCCAACACCACAACCACGCACGCCCTCTAACACCACAACCACGCATGCCCTCCAACACCACGCCTTCCCACACAACACCACAACCACCCACGACCTCCAACACACTCCCCTGCTGCCCGGCACATCAAGGAGGCCGCCACAGACGTCTCCTAATTATCCAGTGTCTCGGGTAACTGTAGAGGTGAGTGTGGCCGGCGCCGTCCACTGTTTACCTGAGGCGGCCAGGCAGGTAGGTAACTCGCCTGCTGTCCCTCCTCCAGGTAGGTCGTGGGGGTGAGGAGAGGGGGGAAGGAGGTGGTTAGGATTCGTGGCGTGGAAGTGGGAAGTAGTGGGGATTTGCAGGGAATGGTAAGAGGTGGAATGGAAGGAATGGAGGTTGGGGGGATTGAAGGTGGTGGTGGGAGCAAAGTGAATGTAGAGGAGGAGGTTGTGGTGCAGAAGTGTAGTATGGTGGCAGGTGAAGGTTGTGGTGGCAGGTGAAGGTTGTGGTGGCAGGTGAAGGTTGTGGTGGCAGGTGAAGGTTGTGGTGGCAGGTGAGTTGTGGTGGCAGGTGAGGTTGTGGTGGCAGGTGAAGGTTGTGGTGGCAGGTGAAGGTTGTGGTGGCAGGTGAGGTTGTGGTGGCAGGTGAAGGTTGTGGTGGCAGGTGAAGGTTGTGGTGGCAGGTGAAGGTTGTGGTGGCAGGTGAAGGTTGTGTGGTGGTGTAGGTGGAGGTGGGGAGGTTGTGCAGGTGAAGGTTGTGGTGGTGATGGTGGAGGTGGGGGGAGGTTGTGTGGCAGTGAAGGTTGTGGTGGTAGGTGGAGGTGGGGGGAGTTGTGGTGGCAGTGAGGTGTGGTGGAGGTGGGGGAGGTTGTGGTGGCAGGTGGGGTTGTGGTGGTAGGTGGAGGTATTGGAGTAAGTGCGCCAGATAATAGAGGTCGGGGTCTTAAGAAAAGCTTTCATGCAAATCAATATTTCTTTTTTGCCATAACCACCACGAGATCTGTTGGTGAGAGCCCAGGGATTATAAACATGGTTAAAGTGTATTTCAGAATATAACTCCGGGTCCTATAGTCGATGGAGGATTTTTTAGCAGAGTTGAAGATTTTTAAGAGTACTCAGTTGCATGACGGATATGGGAAATGTGTCGTTATGGAGGTTGTGGGGGTACTAACGGGGAGGGGAGTCGTGCCCCAGGAGCTGGCCTGGCCGGCCTCCACTGCCCGGCAGCAACCTCTGGCGGGTCTGGGGCGGCGACACGCAGGGGCGCTTGCCTGCCTACACCAGTCACCGCCAGGACTTCTTACTTCTCTCTCCACACACAAACACACACACGCGTCCAGAATAATGTTGTGGTCACCTTAATAAGAAGTACCCGCACACCTCACTCTGCCACCCACCGCCCTGCTAACACCCCCGTCCTGTCACCCCACGCCCACCTACCCACCCACCCACCACACTGTGTCAGTCGTAAACCGCCGCCAACACACACCTCCCATCATAGTGCCACCCATGCCACCACCCATACGCCTACCCACACACACACCACCACCACCACCACCCACCACCCACCACCCACACCACCACCACCACCACACCACCACCACCACCACCACCACCACCACCCCACCCACCACCACCACCACCACCACCACCACCACCACCCACACCCCACCACCCCACCCCACCACCACCACCACCCCACCCCACCCCACCACACCACCACCCACCACCACCACCCACCCACCACCACCACCCCACACCACCACCCCACCACCCACCACCACCCCACCCACCACCACCCACCCACCACACACCACCCACCACCACCACCCACACACCACCCACATCCACCACCCACACCACCACCACACACCACACCACCACCACCACCACCCACACCACACCACCACACATACCCACCATCATTTAAGCCCACAGTGCAGCGCCACACTCCATCCGCCGCCACCCACTGATGTTTACACCCTTACTCACCCACCCACCACCACCACCCATCACCACCCTGCGCCCTCACCACCAACCATCACCACCCAATACTGCCACCACTCGTCACCCATCACCACCACCCATTATATCTACTAACACAAATTGCTAACCACCACCTACTGCACACACCACCACCGACCACCATCCACTCCCCACCCGCCACCCATCATCACTCACTGCTCCATCACCACCTATCACCACCCACCCACCACCTGTCACCCACCCACCCACCACCACCACCACCCACCCCCCACCACCCACCCCACCCCACACACACCCACCCCACCCCCACACCCCACCCCACCACCACACACACCCACCACCCACCACCACCACCCACCACCCACCACCACCCCTACATTATAACATCCGGGCAGGTCGTTTACTCTCCTATAAGTAATACAGAAGGCGCTTGTAGGAAGTGGGTGTTGAGGTGAGGTAGTAGGGGTGGAGGTGTCTGACAAGTGTGAACACTATAGAGCGTTAGGGTAGAGGGCGGGGGAGGGCAGGGGGGCGAAGGCAGAGAAGAGAGCAGGAGGTGTTGAACTAAACATTCCTATGATAACACAAGAGAAGAAGAATGAAGGAATCTGCAGTAGAGTTATTGAGTTATCCCCGACAGCCTTGTTTAGACCCAGCCCTTTATCATCCACGTCTGTCCAACCTTATAAGCTTCCCAACGAGTTCGAGTTAATGATGGTGTTCGGTAACTTGTTCCATTCATCCATAACTCTATCTGTGAATCGCTGTTTTTGTTACTTTTATTTAACCCCATTTTACATTTATGCACTTGGATCATATCGCCTCTCACTCTACGTCTTCCAAGAGAATGCAAATTTATTTTTCATAATCTGTCTCAATACTCAAAGTTCCTAATAGTACGGTGACTAAAACTGAATCGTATATTCCAAAGGGAGGTCTCATTTAACACCTCTGCTCTAACAATTACTCTACTCTGTTAGCCTTATTTAGTACACAAAACCCATTACTGTCTAGGTTTTAACTCCCTACTTATCATTACTCTAAATCATT